AATTTTTTTTTGGGGAAAAAAAATTTTTGAAAAAATTTTTTTTTTTTTTTTTTTTTTTTTTTTGTGGAGAATGTGTGGTTAATAAGTATGAAAAAGTTTTGGGATTATGTGTAAAATATGCTATAGTTTGACTGCGTGGTTGAAAATGAGTTTGAGAAAAGAGTTTTGATTTAATGGAAGACAAACATGGACTAAATATTGTGGGCACTAACATCCAGAAAATGTTGTCAGATGAGTTCATTATACAGATATACAAAGTTAGCCTTTTTTCTCATCTTTTTACAGTTCTGCTGTCTCTTGGACGTTTATAAGATTTGTTTTTATTCCCTCATCCCTTTTGACATGATTATGAAGCATCATATATTCGTTCCCACTTTCGCTTGGAATCTGATTTTAGGGCTAGAACAATCTGAAACATAAATTTTCAATTTAAATCTTAAAGAGTGATACCCCCAGGTATGGACAGGTTAAAAGAAATCTGTAACTCCTAAAAAATAGTAATTAGCATTGATGACAATGTTGAGGTACATATTAACACGACAATTTAGGATGACGTAAGTTTACGGTAAGATTGAGAAACTCACAAGGAAATTTCTTAGTTCCATTGAAGTCTTGCAGGTTGACTCATAGAAGGCTGTGGCCCTTGTTAAGGTAAAGTGGTGAAGTAATATCATTTGGAACTGATAAATATGTCACCATTTGCAATTTGGTGCCAACTATCTTGAAAGTTGGGATCTTGTGAAGTGCCACTCCAGGTTATCAGGATTTGCACAAACTGTTATGCATAATCAGTAAAATCAACGTTGTTTTGTTTATTTTTTGTATACAACATGCAATATGGTTCTCTCCCTCTCTCAGTGACAAAAGGCTTTTCCCATGTTAAATGTTAAAACTAGTGTTGTACTTATGATTGAAGTATTTTCAGCTTTTTATCATGATCGTTATTGAATAAATTTACAATCTTCTTCCTAAAATTCTTTCTTCTTCTTTCTTCCTCTTTAGCTACTCTTCTTCTTGTATTCGACATCACAATCTTCTTCAGAAAGTACACTGTTCTGAGCTTATCATATTGAAGCCCATGCAAATAATGATCTCTTAACTTCTTGATGATAATTAATAAGTCAAGTCAATTATATGTACGTCTGCAAAGTGCTAAATAAAGAAGTTTACTTGTGAAAGAGAACCAAATGTGGACTGGAGCTAAATCCCTGCTTTCCCTTCTAAGATGTCGTTATTTCTATTATTAGTAAGTGGTAGGGGTTGATCCTAAACCCACTACCACTTGAACATGAACTTTTGTTAAACAGGAAAAAAAATTCAGTTGTGAAAATGAAACTCGATCTCAAGATGTGCTGGCTGGTATACTGCAGGCTCAGACTGCTTCTACCCATTACTGAATTTTAATTCGAGAGGTCAAAAGAAGCCAAACATTGGTTAAGGACCCGGCAGAAAGCTTGAGCTAATAGTCCTGTTTGCCTCGTATTTGATCCATTACCTTGGGAAAAACATTTTGAGATGCAAACTCGAGCCATCTTTACTCTTTTTAATGTAAATTGACAGTTTAGTATTTTAGTATTATAGAGTCAAAGATTTAACAAGAGGTGAGGTAGGAGTAGAGCTACTTCGATCTTCAGCAAATAAAAATAATAGAAATTCTACTTCTAGACTTTGCATCTCTGTTTGCTTTATTTTCTTCATAAGGCATACTTGTTTTTCTGAATGACTGCCTGAAAGGGTATTATGTTTGTGAAGTTGCCTTTTAGCACACCTTTTGAATTAGACGGGTTGACACACAACATTTTTTTTTTCTGGCATAATTTTCACTCATTTTTGTTTTGATGAACAGGGAGTGCAGGCCTGCTCTTTTTATTTGCAGAGAGGTCGCTGCAAATTCGGCCGTACTTGCAAGTTTGATCATCCAATGGGAGATGGAAAATACAATTCCACTTCATCGTATTCTGAAATGCCAGGTAATTCTTGAATGCTCAATATATGTGGTGCTAGCACTCTTGTACCAACTTATATTCATTTCAGTAGATGCAGGCTGAATATGTTGCAGGGTTGAAACTTGATCTTGGTATAATCAGGACACGGCCTTCTGGGAACAATTCCAGTGGTTCTGTTCGTCTGATGTTTTCACAGACTGTTAAATGAGATTTATCCTTAAAAGTACACATAGAAGCACAAGAAACAATAGGGAAAGTCGCCATTCAATATGATAAGTCTATTACCCTCTTATTTCAAGTTTCGCCACCAACATTTGTAGCCGACTCTTTTGTCAACTATCATTTAGTTAATATTTCCATATCGTCATTAAAGTTCATCTACTCTATGATATTGTAATTCAATACATTGTTATCCAAAATGTTGATCTTTTGCTCCACGTTATATATCTTGAACATGAAATTGAAATAGAATAACCATTTTGGTCTTCTAATTTAAACTCTATCTTGTTAAAATATATTCAGTCAGTCTGTTTATGTAGCTTTTTATTGTAGCCTTTGCCTGAGATTTGTTATAGCATTCGCGATGTCTACTTGTCTTTATTTTCATGTTCGACTAGTCCCCGGTTTTATTATTTCATGCAAATTTATCAAAAGGGTCCTTACATTTGTTATGATGGCAATCACTTGAGCACCTCGGGTTTAACACAAACTTTTACCAATCATGCTACTACGCATCCAAGCTCAAATTCAGATGGGACAAGTGCTGATGCATGCATGATTGGACAGTTTGAAAAATTAAAACAAAAACACTAAATCATATTCTGACACATCAGTATATCTTTTTACTCCGTCTTTGAGCCTGGTTGAGTGGTTTTATTCAACTTTTAAAACGAGGTGGCACAATAAAATGATACGTGAAAATAAGTAACTGCACTTTTATGCACAATTGAATAATGTCATAGGTACCATTTTGAGACTGGTATCAGTATGGTTCTTTGAAGAAGATGGCATAACAAACTGAAAAAAATTGCTACTAAAATATCGGAAGTTAGAGCACACTTTGCCTGATCACTGAACTCCATATTTCGTCAACCTAAACGGTCCACTGTGTCTGGCATGGATTCCCAATTCTCTATATCTTGCATATAGGGTTCTTCAAGCTTCATCCTCGTTTTCTCCACTTCTTGCTGCCTCTTGAGCAAGTGACCAGTCGTGGAACTTGCGTTTCTCGTTGTTGCTCAGAACACTGTAAATTTCTCGTAATTTCATGAGCTTTTTTGAAGCAACTTTCAGAGGAAGTTCTGCAGTGTCAGGATGGTATTCCTTCGACAACTTCTGGTAAGCGGCTTTTATTTCTTCCAAATTTGCATTTGCAGCTTCTCTAAGAACCTGCAAAAGAATTAAGTTCCTTTGCCAGAAGGAATTTGACGTTCTTGTTGATAGATACTCACATGGAGTGGGACTCATGTGAATAACAAATGTCCAAAAAATTCTTGCCCCCTATTGTGAGGGTTTATCAAGGAAGGCGTCAAACCCTCTTTGGCACCATAGCAGGTTTGCCTGCAATATTGATACCAGTTTTGTTAGTTAAAATAATATTCTTGAAAAACCTTAATATTGAATGGATGCAATGCCATTGTCCACATTATTTAGTCTAAAGAAGAGATGCTCTATGATTAAATGAAATTATTCATGCTCAGATGTCCTTTCAACCTTATGAAAACCTTATATTTTCTGAGGATAGGAACCACCGAAGGTATTCAAGAAACAAGAACAGAAAAAGCTAATTCATCTGCAAAGATATTCCCTCACAAGAAAGTGTTCATTCGATCTTCTTCGTGGAGAGAAAGCGAGTTTATGGCTGCTCGATAAAGGATTTTTATCTTCAAAACCTATTGAAATGGGCCATGCATATCTAGCTACTGACTATGATACACAAGTATTATCAATTCAATAAGAGAATGGGACCTCTCTCTTAATTTAATATCAATAACTCAAAAAAAAAAATTTGATCCCTTTTATTTATTTGATATTGATTTTCTATATAATCTTGTCTTGTCTGGTCTGAGTCTCTTTACCAAAACATACCCCAACCCTACAAATTCAGAAAATGGAGTATATCTGTTTTTTCCTTTCTTGATTTAGCAGGAACATGAACTGCCAGCCAGCTATTCAAATAATATGAAATCTTGGGCACATAAATCAAACAATTATAATAACTTCAGCTAAAAACCAAGAAATTATAGATAATCAAGACTTACTGGCAATAAGAATCAGATGAACCGTTGAGTAGATCCGAGAATTTTTCATTCAGAAGTTTCTCCTCATCTTTGAATTGTGTTGTCTGTGACTGGGAATTACTTTCCCCTAACCAGCCCTCATTCTCATTCTCCCAATGAATTCTCGTGTCCACTGCAGGAGGTGCCTATTGCCGGCTGTTCGGATCTTTAACTGCATAAACCGTAAAATTTCCATGCATATTTCTTCTTCGTCTTACCCAATTTCGCGCTTCGAATTCTCTTTTGGTACCTCAGTCCAAGAAAAAATACAGCCGGCGGAGCTGCTGCTGGTGAAGCCATTGGAGCTGAAATATAGTAAATTAGAAGGCTGGTTTGAATTCAGATTTGGGAGGGCGTGGGGTGGGGCTTCATTTTCCTGTGGCCGAGGATCATTACTGAATTTTTTCTGGTTTCCCATATTTTGGAATGATTTTTTGTGTTACCCATTATCTAGTTTTTTTAAGTTCAATCGAAGATATCATTTTAGTCACATGCAAGAAAAGATTCAATACAACTACAGTTACCAAACTAGTTTAAACTAAAAATTGGTAAAATGGCCACCAAAGTAGTCCGAGCAGCTTCAGGAGACCCATTTATGGATGGACTGATCAAGAACCGGTGTGTGTTTTGTTATTTGAATCAATTGCATGCTGCATGATTCAATCTTAAGACATCCACTTTATCATTATACGATCCTGGATCGTCTCATTTGAACATAATCGGGGAATCCTTCTTTTCATTATTATGAGACTGAATAGAGAGAACGAAGTCCTTCACTTAACATCGTCTATAACCACACTACTAATTTTACATCTACAAGATTTCATTATCATAGTATTATTAATCTTATCCAAGCGGCCGTGGGCTTAAGTATTCTGAAGCAACTGGACTAGTTTGCCTTGGACATGGAGACTGATGACCTCGTTGGCCCCTCCAACAAATTTTTGTCCAATGAACACTGCCGGTACAGTTGGGTTCAGTCCGAGTTCCTGCAGTGCCATTTCTAATTGCTGTCCATTTGGAATCTTATCTACTTCATAAACTGTAGGCTTTGCTCCCAAGCTGTATATCAGTGTTTTAACGGTGTGGCAAAGGCAGCAAGTGCTTTTGCTGAATATCATCAATGGCTTGTTTACTGTTAAACTCTCTATAGTTTCCATTATTAATCAAGATGATGAGATCCAAAAACCCGAAAATATGCTGATTTTTAACGTGCAAAAAAAAAAAAAAAAGAATGAGAAATTGTGGAAAAAAAAAGAAAAAGAAATTACTCTGATAAGATCAGCCCTTGGAAGATGGATTAAGGGTTGCTGCTGAGAAACTTGATATCACTCGTGGAATTTATAGATACTAATGGTGGATTGCACTTATCAATTTGCAGGACAAAAAGAATTTTTCTGACGGATATTTCTTATAGATACTAATGGCATAACATTTTTTATTTATTTATTATTATTATTATTTTTTTTTTTTTTTATCACAATGTACAGCTACATTGAAGATGCTCTTAACCAGGTCACTACTCAAGACGTTGCAATTTGCATGGTACTTTACCAACCCTCCCTCTCCACCCTAAAATAATATTAGAAGTCCATATAATTTGAAATCTTCAAGAACATGGAAAATTATTGATAACAACATTAGAGACGACTCTGAAGAAATAATGTTGACGATGAAACATGAAAGTCTTGAGCATTGAAAAATGAAGTTTAACGCTGTAATTCTAAGGGGTAGCTCAATGGTCAGACCTTGGATTTGTTTTCCTATGGTTATCAATTCGAGTTCCCTCAGAGCCATTAAGATGAGAACCTAGCTATAAATTTAAGGGCCCCATGGGATTAGTCGAGGTGGATGTAACCTGGCTCGAACATCCACAGTCATAAGAAAAGAATAAAGTTTAACGTTGGGAATCAGAAGGCTGCAGCTGAAAACAAGTCTTGAATATTGATTTAATTCTTGTAAACTTCCTGATGTGTCTAAATTAGTCAACCGTTGCTTAACTAGGTAAATAAGTTGTAATTGAAGTGATTTGTACCACGGGAAAAGTAATTGTAAATTGTAAAAAGAAATAAGTTAAGAGCGAGTCATAGCTTCCTAATTACGTAAAATATAGTGTAAATTTATTCAATAAAATTGCAACCTAGCTTTTGAAGCACCCAAAAAAAAGAGCATGTCCCATATTGTTGGTGAAGATATATAAAGTAAGGTAAAATAAACAAACTTCATAATTGATAAGTGTATTTTGTACACTTATCTAGGCCGTATTATTAAACTTTATATTGTCAAAGTATTGATTTCTACTTAAACTTTTTATTTTTATTCTTAGTTATGGATCTGTTTCGAAGCAATTGGAAAGGGAACAAGGATAAAATGGCCATGGGATGGAAGTTTGGGGACTAGTTTCACATGTTAGAAACTGAAGGGCTTGAATTGAACTAAAGAAGGATATTGGGTGCACAATTAATTGAGCTCAAGGATTGAATTGCACTATTTTTAACGAAGTGGACCTTAAAGGGAAATTGATACTTAGTTGGGCCTTGTAATTGAACTTGCAGGAGTGTAATTGAAAAGGAATTGGATTCTTACTTTTTGGGACTCCTAATTGGACAAGGAGGTGGGAATTGATTGGAAATTAGAAGGGAATTAGACAAACTCAATGTCTCTGATCAAGTCTAATGGCCATGATCAGGGAGAATGGCAGATGAAGGCAGCTTGTACTGACAAACTCATAGGAAAAATCGATGATCTACATGCTGTAGCAATCAAGAAAGATAAGAAGAAGATAACCCCACTCTTAATATCGAAATGATTCTACAAGAAGGGAAACGCTCTACACTAGCATAGAGTTTCACCACCTCATACTTAGATAAAGTTGCAACATTTTTTGAAACTTCATGTTAGGATTCATTTTGAGTCATTTGCTTTAGATTTTTAGATTTTTTGTAATGTTTGACTTTTATGCCCGAGGATGCTCAGAGTAGTTGTACTCATTTTTTATCAAAATACAAATTTATTCACCGATCAAAAATGAAGGGAATTAGATAGAATTGCAGAGACAGCCAGAAATTGGAAAAGACACGAGCAGACGTGGCCGAATATTGGAAAAACACGAGAAAGAGATGGCAGACGACATCTTGATTGAAGGATTAATTTCAAAATTTTTTACTGTACAAGTAATTTGTGAATTAATCCCATTCCGTCAATTTTTTGATGATGTCGTTTAAACTTTGTTTGTTTAATCTTGACATTATGAGGTTTTAGATTATTTTAGTGCTAAGGATAATGATAAAACTTGTACCATGAATTTTTAACTTTTGAATTTTATTTTTGATATTAAAGCATGTTTTCAATTCTTGAATAATTGATATTGATTAAATTTTCTGTATAATTATATGCGCAATAGTTGTATGAGTTTTTTGACTTGTTTTACCTTTGAAAGATTGAAAATAAGTTAGACATGACATCAATTATCGTAAAGTCCAATAGGAGATAGAAATAACCGCTATGCTCTACGTGATTTTTAAGTATTCATAAATTCTTAATACATTTTTTATGTTTGCATTAGTCATATAAGTATAATTGGGTCATATGTAAGTATATGTTTAATTTTGTTCGTAGGAGATTGTTAAACAAATTAAGAATATTAATCTTTATAATTGAGCCCCTGTTTGATTCTCATTATTTGTTCATTAAAATGAAAAATATGACTGTTATTCATCACATCAAGTCACCATATTTGACTTTCTATCTCTTGTGTGGGGTCCGTAATAGCTATATTTTTCATTCTCATTTTTACATTAATGTGTAACAAACAGGGCATCTTGTTGTCAAATTCATAAATTCGGAGTTAAAAGGTGATTGATATAAGAGGATTTGGAATTTTAGTACGTTTTTCATCATCATATTTTTATAACACTTGCAATTAATTATAATCTTGCGTTGATTTTATTTAATTTAGATCTTGCATTCATACATAATTTAAGTGATTAGAATTTAGTGATAGATTATGAATTACAAATTTCCATTGTTTTGAATTAGTATAATCTCCGTGGATACGATACTTGGACTGAAAATTCATTTTACTAGTAGTTAATGAATGAGTACACTTATTGTATTTTAAATCGAAAAACATTTTACTTATCCACCATTTATTTCTATCAATTTATAAATCAAGCTCATTTATAAATTCTTCCCAAACCGATGCTTATAAAATGTTGAAGTCAATTTCCTCTATCACACAACACCTCTATAGAAATGTTCTAAACTCATTTCTATAGTTAGCAGTACCTAAAAGTTTTGCTGTGCATATTATTTCTAGTCAATAGAGGTGTTGTGTGATAGAGGACACTTTGAATTGGACTCGACGAAGATGATAAATTTTTTCTTCTATTATAAAATAATGAGAAAATTATTGATGATTATTAAGTTATATCATGATACGTAGATAAATTTTATCTAATTTAGAAGATCTATTTCACTCCAATTGTAACTTTTATTTTAAACTCTAATAAATATGAGACATTGATTCTTAATAACACACAAACAAATTTGTTGGCTTCTCTCTTTTATTTTCTTTTTTACTCTAATTTATAACACGTTATTATTATGATTCTCTAAAAATTATAGTAAATTAGTTTGAAAGCAGTCTATAGGCAATCTCAAATCATATACATTATTTTTTTTATTGTAGCTTACACGCACAATTAATTTTCATTGTCGCATAGCAAATTGGTTTCTATTCAATCTTCATTGTGTCCAAAATTTTAAAATCTAATAATCAAATTGTGCGTGTCCAATCATCATATAGCAGAATAATTATGCATATCCAATCATCGTAATCAACTTTTTTGCTTCTTGTTTATAATTCAATTAATTACCTCATTACTATTTTTTTAAATACGTGTATACTTTATGAATTTAATACTCGTATATATGTCTATTATAAAATATTGTTACTCTTGAAGGAGCAAATTATTATTAATGTTCTAGTTAGATTTTACTTGTTTTTAAATAGCATAATTAAATAAAATCTAACATAGATTATGTTTTTAATCCTGAACAGTAAATTATTATACAATTTATTATTTCACACAATAATATGTTATTGCTACAGAATATAACACTCCAATTTCAATATTTCAAAAGAATGTTACTCGTGGACCTGTTTATTAGAAATATTTTATTGCTCATAAAGTAACATAATATTATAATTAATATTAAAATAATATGATATTATAATTTCAATATTTCAGAAGAATACTAATTGATTTTTATGTAAAAAAAATTCATGAATTAAATTACTCAATTTATTACATTTCATTCTTCTGCATGCGTATTTATATATTGATATTCTAATTAAATTTTACTTGCTCCAGAAGAGTATAAAAAATATGATCTAACATAAATTATGTTTTTACTCGAGAAGAGAAATTTCTTACGTAATTTCTTGTTCTAAATAATAATATGTTATTGCTCCTGAAGAGTGTAATATTATAATTTTCAATATTCAAAAGAATATTGATTTATTGATTTTGAAGAAGTGATAATAAAATATAACGTACTTTCAAATTAGCGTACATCCCGAATACTATATACATCTCATTGTGTTCATGAAAAAAAGAAGAAGATAAATTAAAAAAAAAAAAAAACTCAATACCGAGTTGTAATTTTTAAAGAAAACTAATTTTCTATATTATTAATATTCAAGAAGAATATTAATTTATCGCTTGAAGAATATGAATTATAATTTTTTATATTTCGGAAACATATTGACATATTGCTGTGGAAGAAGCAATAATTAAAGATACTGTAGTCTCGAAGTAGCATCATTTTCGAAAAATATATCATTTTAAATTCATATTTATCCATGAAGGAAAAACATATAACCAATGTGATGAAAACACTGATTGGTTTGACTGCTTGAATGTTATGTAATTCTATAAGGTTTAATCCTATTTTCTGAAATCAAATAATTAAATTATGTCTTCTATTAATTTAGAAATTTAATTTAATTTTATTACTTGACATGATTAGTTGAATCATTACTGGATTAATAATGATGTAAAATAAAAAAAATAAAAAATTAATCATTAAACATTACTAGCTAAAATAGTAACTGAATTTTCTATATTTCTAAAAATTAATTACGATGATAGATGAGGCTCCATCATTCACGTTGAATATCTAAATATTATTTATATTTAATAGATTTGATACACATACTAGATGATTACATGAAATTTACAATCTGAAATCTGCGAAATTACTGCTCAAATTTTAAATTGTAAGCATAATTTTCATATTATACAATCAAGATGGTATGTCTTGTTAATGCTAGTAATTCTAAATTTCAACATTTTAATAAGCGTTAGTTGAGAGGTCAATAAATGGTTTAATATTATTTCTTGTTATATACGTC